CAGGACTCCTTTTTTTGGGGTAGGTGATCCTTCATAAGCGAGTCCTGGTAGCATAGTGCGTTGCTATTACAAGTCAGGTTGCTAACCTCAAGGTCAGCAGTTCGTAACTACCAGTTGTTCCTCAGGAGAAAGATGAAGTTTCGGGAGTTCTGGCATAGCACTGGACTACAAGATTGATTTGAACCTCATGGTCAGCAATTCAAACTTACCAACCGACCCTACATAGGGTCACTGTGCGTCAGAACTGACTTGAAAGCACTTAGCCACAACAATCCTTTACAAGTTTTCCAATTGTGGTCATCTTTATGATGCATTATTTTGTAACATGTTGTGCTTGTGTGCAGTTTTGAAATCAGACTTCCTGGGCTGATCATGCCAAACCGTGTTATCATTGATAGTAACTATTCAGTTATGCTACCTCCCTTGCTCTCTACTACTTCCAGATAGTCTTCCTGGATTTCTTGTAATTAGGTCATGATGGAGAAGGAATAGAGATGTTAATAAAGAAAAAATAAATAAAGCCCTTTTAATATTTTTTCTTGATGGGGTTTATAATTATAACTAATCTCAGGAAATAATTATAATTTATCTCAAGAAATCTCAGGAAAATGTTGTTGTTAAGTGCCATCAAGTCAATTCTGACTCATGGTGACCCTGTATAAGGTTTCTGAAGAGCAGCTGGTGAGCTTGAACTGTCGACCTTGCAGTTCAAATGGCTTTGCTGTCTGGTGCATTAACCCACAGCGCCACACCAAAATTGCAGTTAGAAGGAATATTAAAAACCTATATGAATAGATGCTCCCTGGTTTTTATGAAGTGGAAATAGAATATGCCCTGGCCTTTGTTGGATCTTGTCCAACAAGTCTTTTCCAACTAGTAGTCTTTCTTCTAAAAGTCAGCTTCACTGAATCATTCTGTTGTTGTGTCTTTATCTTGTGCTTTCTCAAACCTTTTGACAAGAACTCTCTTGTATTTTCTTTTCTCCCATTCTTATCGTACTTGGAGATAAAGGGCAGAAGGCAATTATGGTAGGTGCTGGGAATCCAAAGAATTAGTGAGTTAAATTTGGCTGTTAAGAGTTGATGTGAATTAGTGTATATGAACTTCTTTGACATGTATAGCATGCTATATTAGGAGTTGCTGTCATGATTATAAAAGGAGCACTGATAGTGCAGGTTAAGTGAAAGGTCAGCAGTTCAGCACCACCAGCTAGCTGATTAATGGGAGAAAGATGTGGCAGCTTGTGTCTGGAATGATTCATAGCCTTGGAAGCCCTATAGGGCAATTTTACTCTGTCCTGCGGGGTTCCTGTGAGTTTCAGTTCAACTCAGTGACAGTGGGTTATTATGTAGATATTTAAAAAATCATGATTATTTAAATTCTCTTAATAATAATTCCTTACATTTCTACTACTCATCTGTCAGTTTGTTGTACTTTGGTGGCTTGCATGTTGCTGTAATGCTGGAAGCTATGCTAGTGGTATTTAAAATACCAGCTGGGTCACCCATGGTGGACAGGTTTCAGCAGAACTTCCGAACTAAGACAGACTAGGAAGAAGACGACTGTATTTGAATGTTTAACCATTGAAAACTTTATGACTAGCAGTGGAACATTGTCAGATATAGTGCCGGGAGATTAGCCCCTCTGATTCGGAGGCACTCAAAATATGACTGCGGAAGAGCTGCCGTGTCAAAGCAGTAGTTGTTGTGGGGCTTCATTGAGTCAGTTCCAACTCATAGCAACTCTCTATGTACAACAGAAACGTTGCCAAGTCCCATGCCATCTTGACTGCTCCTTCCATGAATGTTGATTATGGATCCAAGCAAAATGAAGTCTTTGACAACATCAATGTTTTCTCTTTGATCATGATAATATTTATTGGCCACATTGTATGAGTTTTTATTTTTTGTTTTACATTGAGGTGCAAACCATACTGAATGCTGTGGTCTTTGGTCTTTATTAGTAAGTATTTTAAGTCCTCTTTGCTTCCAGCGAGCAAGGTTGTATCATCTGTGTATCGCAGGCTATTAATGAGTCTTCCTCCAATCTTGATGCCACATTCTTCATAGAATCCAGCTTCTCTGATTATTTGTTCAGTATATGGCATGGTGAAAGAATGTAACCCTGTTCCAGTGTGATCCTTATAACAACGTAATGAATCATAGCAATTACTTTCCTTTTACCAAGGACAAAATTGAGGCTTATAGAGTTGAACTGACCTCTAAGGTCAAACAACTAATGAGTTATAGAGTCAGTACTCAAACCCAGGTCTCTGATTCTGAGGCCATTGTACTTTCTATGACATCACAGTGTTTCTTTAGCTTTAGGGTGGAGGAGATGGGATAGTTGGCTGTCTAAAGGTGATGTCTTCTAGATTCGTACAGGGGACCCCTATGGCATCCTTGTATACATGTTTGTAATGGACAAGTATTGGCCATTTTGAATCAGACACTTACATGGTTTACTATGACAGAAATGACAAATTGAAGAGGAATGGTGTTGCATTTATCATCAAAAAGAATGTCTCAAGATCTATCTTGTACATTGCTGTTGGTGATGAGATAATATGCATATGCCTACAAGGAATACCACTTAATGCAAATATTATTTAAATACATGTGCCAACCATTAAAGTCAGTGATGAAGTTGGAGAATTCTACCAACTTCTTCAGGTTCAAATTGATGAAATGCAATCAAGATGTATTGATAATTACTGGTGATTGAAATACTAAGGTTGGAAACAAAGAGGAAGGCTCGGTAGTTGTAAAATATGGTCTTGGTCATAGAAATCATGCTGGAGATCACATGATAGAATTTTGCAAGCCCAATGACATATTGCAGGTATCTTTTTTCAGCAACATAGATGGTGACCAGGCACGTGGCTTTTTATGTTGTTGAAAGAAGATGCCTGATCACCAGATGAAATACACAGGAATCAAATTGTGTACATCTGTGGGAAGTGACTTTGGAGAAGCTCAGTATCATCAGTTAAAATAAGGCCAGGGACAGACCATGGAACAGACTTTCAGTTGCTCATGTGCAAATTCAGGCAAAAACTAATGAAAATGAAAACAAATCTAATACGATAGCCAAAATAATGACCTTGAGTATACCCCACCTTGATTTATAGACCATCTCAATAACAGATTTGATGCATTAGGCACTAGTGACCAAAGAAGCTGAAGAGACTAGACGTAATAACGAAGTCAAAGAGCTCAATAGGGCAGCTCAAGAAGACAAAGTCAGATATTACAAAGAAATGTGAAGAATCTGGAGTCAGAAAACCATAAGGGAATAACACTCTCAGCATTTCTCGAGGTGAAAGAAGTGAAGAATAAATTGAAGCCTCGATTTGCAATATTGAAGAATAAATGGAGTCCTGGTGTGATGCTATAAGAAAAGCTGTTGTTGTCAAGTGCCGTCGAGTGGAGTCGATTCCAACCCACAGCAACCCTGTATATGGTTTCCAAGGAGCAGCTGGTGAGCTTGAACCACCGACCTTGCAGTTCAAACTGTGGGTTAATGCGCAGTCTGGCACATTAACCCACAGTGCCACACCAGGACTTCATAACAAAATTAGTGTACTGATAATCACAAGGTTGGCAGTTCAAACACACCAGCCTCTCTTTGGAAGTGTTATATAGGGTTGCTGTGAGTCAAAGCAAAGATTCAGATGAGGATATGGAATGCGGGATATTGCTGATATCAGATGGATCTAAGTTGAAAGCAAAGAATACCAGAAAAATGTTTACCTGTGCTTTATTGACTATGTAAAGTCTTTCGGCTGTGGATTGTGACAAGCTATGGACAACATTGCTAAGACTGAGTTTTCTGAAATATTTAATTGTGCTCATGAAGAACCTGTACATTGACCAAAAGTCAGTCAGTCATTCAAAAAGAACAAGGGAACACTGAATGATTTAAAATCAGGAAAGGTGTGTCCCAGGGTTGTAGTTTTTCACCGTACTCATTCATTCTGTATGCTGAGCGGATAATCTGAGAAGCAGAATTATGTGAAGAAGAATATGACAGCAGGATTGGAGGAAGACTCATTAACAACATGTAATATACAGATGATACAATTTTGTGTGCTGAAAACAAAGAGGACTTAGAATACTGATGAAGATCAAAGACCACAGTCTTTCGTATAGGTTGCACCTCAATATAAAGAAATAAAAAATTCTCACCACTGGAGCAATAAATAACATTATAAACGGACAAAAGATCGAAGTTATCAAAGACTTCATTTTATTCAGATCCATGATCAACACTCAATGGAAGCAGCAGTTCAGAAATCGAATGACATATTGCATTAGGCAAATCTGCTGCACAAGACCTCTTTAAAGTGTTCAAGAGCAAAGATGTTGGTTTGAAGACTAAAGTGCACCTGACCCAAACCATCATGTTTTCCAGCTTCATATGTATGCGAAAGTTGGACAGTGAATAAGGAAGACCGTAGAAGAATTGATGCATTTGAGTTTTGGTGTTCAGAAAAGAATATTAAAAGTACTATGGACTGTTCGAAGAACAAACAAATCTGTCTTGGAAGAAATACACCCAGAATGTGCCTTGACTGCAAGGCCATCTTGCTCAACACTAATGAAACCTATACATTTAAAAACTTTAAAAAATAGCATAGACAAGAATTTAGCTACCATGTGTTCATGCTGTGCCATCGTGACCTATCAATATTAAAGGTGTGTGGTTCTAAGTATAACATGGTTTACAAATTTTAATTGTATGAGACACGTATCTTATAAGGCTTTATCTTCTATCTCACATGGTCATAAGATGAGATGATCTTATCTTACACATAAGATGATATTTATGTGTCGGGAGTCTTGGTGTGGTGCTGGACTGCTAACCACAAGGTCGGCAGTTCAAACCCACCAGCTGCTCACTGTGAGTCATACCCGACTCAATGGCACTTAACAACTTTATGTCTCATGCTTGTCCTGAAGAGGAGCAGAGCCTCATCCTGTGATCTGTGTGTTCAATAGGGAGAAGATGAATCAGTCACCCTCAAATCCTGCACAAGGCGAAAAACAGACTCTATTGAGAAGAGGTTTTGCTTTGATGTAGAAGCAGTAGACAGGTGAGTAGCTGTTGACTTTTTCTTGGTAACAAATATTACTGTATTAGATTCCCTCTAATTCTGAATCTTTTCTATGTTTTATTCCTTCTCCATTCTCCCAGTTATACCCAGTTTGGAAAGACTCCAAGCCAGTTGCTGATTTGCAAGGATCAATACAACATCCCCCATCTTTTAGGGTCAACACTGAATTACTATGCCTGTTTTGTTTTGTTTTAATATTATAGCTCCATTCTCAACAATGGAGTTATGTCTGCAGGTGATTGAGTAGATGCTATTTTAAACAATTTATTCTGTCGCATGGTTGTGTCATCTATTTGCATTTTCATACTTGGAAAAAAAAAGTTAATAAAATGATTCTAGAGAATTGGGTCAGCTTTTAGTTACAGTGTTTCATTGGCTTCTCAGTGTGTGCACCTAGGGAGGAGACTCTACCACTTGTGAAATCAGTCTTTAGAGAGAGTGGTGTGTTGTATTCCTCAGGATTTATAGAGTCTTTCATTAAGTCTTAGCATTTTATGGTGTTAAGCTAGTTTGACAGCATTCCAATTCTTTAAGACACTTTCCTTGGCAACAGGTGAATTCTTTGAATGCAGCACTTGTGTTAAGCTTATTTGGGCTGCCTGTTCAAGATCAGCAATACTAGTCCCAAAATATTTTAGTCTTAGTATGGGTCTCACATAATGCTATTTAATCTCTCCCTTTTATTAAAAAACAAACAAACACAACAAAAAAACCAGAAAGCCGGTACTTCTGCCCATCTGGGAAGGTTTTCTGTGGCCCCATTTCCCAGCTCTAGAGAATCCTGAGGCTGCACGTGTCCTGGACTGGGTTTCTCTGTGTTGGAAGCCTTAGAATGCCTTCTTGTGTCTGCTCTGTGGTGTGACTGTTGGAGGCTGGAAGAGCTCCCATGTACAAAGCATGCCCTTTTCAACCACAATCACAAGCTCATGGCAAGTTCTCAACTCAGACAACCTAGACCCAACTTTTTTTTTTTTTTTTTGCTTGGTAGCCATGTTGATTTTGAGCAAATTAATCTCTCAGAACCTTGATTTCCTCATCTGAAAAATGATGATGTTGAACTTACCTGTTTCCTAGAACTGTTGTAATGATTCCAGGAAATCATGCATGTAAAATACTTACCTGAATGGCACACAATAGGTGTTGTACACATATTGTTGCTTGGTGTTGCTAAGTACCATAGGGTCAGTTCCAACACATAGCAACCCAGTATTGGGTTTCCAAGGAGCACCTGGTGTGGTGATCCTCCAGCCTTGCAGTTAGCAGTCCAGTTACTTATCCTATAGCACCACACCAGTATTTACTCCAAGTATAAGCAGTTAGTATTGTTAATTACCTTGTCCTGCATGTCCATTGGACTTGCTAATTCATGAAGTTAGACTCAAAATGCAGAAATCTCTATATAATTTATAAATTTGTCATGCTGTGGCAATGTGGGTTAATGCACCAGACTGCAAAGCTGTTTGAACTGCAAGGTCGGCGGTTCAAGCTCACCAGCTGCTCCTTGGAAACCTTATACAGGGTCACTGTGGGTCGGAACCGACTCGACAGCACTTAACAACAACAACCCCTCATTATATTGGGAGATGTGAGAGGGAAAATAAAGGAGAAAGAGTAGCATTGGATGAATTGTGGTAGCAAAGGAGAATTGCAAATAGCGTTTCTTTAGGAAAAAAAGAAAAAGATTGTTTTTAAACAAATCCTAAATCATGTTTTAAGCATGTTTATTGTTGATGTTACTAAGTGCCATCAAGTCAGTTCCAACTTACAGTGACCCTGTGTAGGGTTTCTAAGGAATGACTGGTAGGTTTGAACCATCAACCTTGTAGTTAACAGTCCAGTGCTTATCCTGTAGCACCACACCTTGGGATCCTCTATATTCTAAGCATAGAATATAAGGGGATTCATACTGTTGGCAAATGTTAAGGAGATTCGGGAGTTGGGTTTGTTTGGAATAAAAACCAGATGTTTGATGCTGCTCAAATGTGCAGTTCTTGGAGAAAATCTTGTTGTTCGCATGACTATTTGGAAGCGGGCTTGCTGCGTGGTGTGGCTTTCCCCATCTGATCAAAACAAGCTGAGAGATGCTTTCAGAAGCAGAATTATTTTCTGTGCTTTCTTCTTCAGTTTTTATAGGTGTTGCAGACTTTCTTGAAAACTGCCCATCTCATTTATATTCTTTACAACACTTCCTAGCACATTCCTCTTTATTAGGTCCATAAAAGTATCTTGTGCCCCCAGTATATGGTGAAAGCGTGTCACCTCCAGTATACCAAGTGGGGTTGGTAAATCTATTTCCACTCAGTTTCTTCGTCTGGGTCCTTTGGCATCACATGGAGTGTTTTTGGTCATGGGTCAAAATGAGGCTGCTATTCTTAATAAGCAGGAGATAAGAGTTACTTCTATGAAACATCTTCTCTCATTTTCATATATAGATCATCATCTTTGGTCTCAAAGATGAGGTTACAGTTTAGCAATGTTTTTCTTCTCTTTCAGCTTTTTTGACCCCAGGTGTTTCTGTATTTTCATCACATACCTGTTGTTGTTAGGTGCCATTGAGTGAGTACTGACTCATAGTGACCCTATGCAAAACAGAAGGAAATACTGCCCAGTCTTGGGCCAACCTCATAATTGGTGTATTTGAGCCTGTTGCTGCCGCCGCTATGCCAGTCCATTTAGTTGGAGGTCTTTTTCTTTGACCTTTCACTTTACCAAACATGATATCCTTCTCCAGTGGCAGGTCCCTCATGATAATATGTCCAAAGTATGAGAGGCGAAGTTTGGCCATCTTGCCTTCCAAAGGGCATTCTGGATGTACTTCTTCCAACACAGACTGATACTTTTTTTTTTTAATGAATCAAATTATATTTCAAATGAGTAACATTATTAGACTGAAGAGGAAATTAACTCAAGTAATTGTTAAGCAGGTGTTTTGTCTGTATGCCATTGCGATGAAGAAAAACAAAAACTAACAAGTATTAGACTGCAGTGAAAAGGTTTCCCATCCAGTGGTAGAGGTTCAAGTTTTTTGAATCATTTGACATGTATTCTAAGATTCAGCAAATAAGTAAAAATATTGTGGAAAAAGGGAATGACTCCTTGCTATCAGAGCAAGGTATAACATATGCTCAGATGGAATTTGGAAGGGTGGAAAGAACGCTGTGTGTCAAAATGAAATCGGAGGTAACACCTTTAACTCTTAGTTGTTCATATTGATAAAAATGTTGTTATTGATGTGGTTAGGTGCTGTTGAGTTGGTACCGACTGATAGTGACCTTATGCACAACAGATTGAAATAATACTGCTCGGTCCTGTGCCAACCTCACAATCATTGCTATACTTGAGCCCACTGATGCTGCCACTGTACCATTCCATCTCATTTGGGGGGGCGTGTCTTCCTCTTTTTGGCCACCCCTCCACTTTACTTAGAATGATGTCCTTCCCCGGGGACTGGTCCCTCCTGATAATATGTCTGAAGTATGAGAAACAAGTCTCTCTATCCTCGCTTCTAAGGAGCATTCTGGCTGTACTTTTTCCAACAAAGCTTTGTTTTTTGTCAGTCCATGATACTTTTAATATTCTTCTCCAACACCATAACTCAAATGCATCAATTCTACTGTCTTTCTTATTCACTGTCCAACGTTCACATGCATATGAGATGATTGAAAATACCATGGCTTTTAGTCCTCAGACTGACATCTTTGCTTTTGAACACTTTAAACAGGTCTTATATAACAGATTTTTCTAATGCAAATACATCATTTGATTTCTTGACTGATGCTTCCATGAGTGTTGATGGTTGATCTGAGAAAAATGAAGTGTTTGATTACTTCAATCTTTTGTCCATTTGCATGGATGTTATTTATTGGTTCAGTGGTGAGGATTTTTGTCTTGTTTACATTGAAGTGCAACCCATAATGAAGGCTGTGGTCTTTGATATTCATCAGCAAGTATTTTAAGTCCTCTTTGCTTTCAGCAAGCAAGGTAGTATCATCTGCATATCACAGATTGTTAATGAGTCTTCCGCCAATCCTGATGCCATGTTTTTTTTTTGTTTTTTTTTTTACATCTAATTCAGTGTCTCAGATTATGTGTGCAGCATCAGATTGAATAAGTATGGTGAAAGAATGCAACCCTCATGCACACTTTAGCTAATTTTAAACCATTTGGTGTTCGTTCCCATGTTCTGTTCGAACAGTGCTTCTTGGTCTATGTACGTGTTCTTCATGAGCACAGTTAAGTGTTCCAGAATTCTCATTTTTTGAAGTGTTGTCCATAGCTTGTCATGCTCCACACAAATGGAAAGCCTATGAGTAGTCAATAAAGCACAGGTAAACATCTTTCTGATATTCTCTGCTTTCAGCCATGATCCATCTGAAGTCAGCAATGATATCCCTTGTTCCACGTCCTTGTCTGAATCTGGCTTGAATCTCTGGCAGTTCTCTGTTAGTATACATTTGCAGCAGTTTTTGAATTATCTTTAGCAAAATTTTGCTTGCATGGGATATGAACGATATTGTCCATTGATTTCCTCATTCTGTTGGATCACCTGTCTTTGGAAAGGGCACAAATACGGATGAGTCAGTTGGCCAGGTAGTTGTCTTCCAAATTTCTTGGCATAGATGAGTTAGTGCCTCCAGTGCTGCATCAGTTTTTTGAAAGATTTCAATTTGTGTTCCATCAATTCCTGGAGGCTTATTCTTTGCCAATGCCTTCAATGTACCTTGGACTTCTTCCTGCAGGATCATCGGCTTTTGATCATATGCTACCTCGAAATGGTTAAACATCAATCATCAGAAGAGTGGTGGATCACATATCTATGAGAAGAAAATAAAAGCATTTCCATGCCCAGGTTCAGTGTTTCTGAGAACGCTGCCCAGAATCCATTTGTCTTGAAGACTCCCACCATTTGCTTATCATCAGTGCTTTCTAGCAAGGTGATGAGAGCTGAGAGATGTCCTCCTGCCCCTTCAGCCATGCCT